CACAGGAGGTAGAAATGCAGGCTGGCCCCCTTATTTAAACTGTCTTGCAGCCATGCTACAGAGCATGGCTCTTCTCTAGCAGTATATAAGGTTAAGTAAGGAAGTGAATGTTCCTGCTGGAGGGAAGGCCAAAACTGCAATGGGAAGACCACCCCTGCAGACCATTGCACATCTGTGGGAAGAGGTTGTGGGATGGGGAGAAGATATGCTTAATGCCTGCGAGCAGAAAGTCTCCAGAGAGGCATCTACACCTCTGTCAAACTGAGATGGCCTGTGGGCTCCATGGCCCCCACCCCCACTCTTCAGTTGCAGGTCACCTGGTACTCCAGGGGCTCCGGTCCCCTGTTGCAGCTGGGGATTCTTGGCAAGCCTAGCACTGGCAAGGGATGGGCAGATAGCTTGGAAGAGAACAGACACTGCCTAAAGCAGCTTTGAAACAAGCTCAGCATACACAGACCTGCCTCTGAGGCCCACAAAGCTCTTTGGTCAGCTTAGTGCCTGCAAAGGAGGGAGTGAAACACACCAGATGTGAGCAAACATTTCCTTACCGCACTGCACGGTGTTGTGCTCACACTTCCACTGGTAGCGCTGCGCCTTGGGGCTGCAGCCTGCCTTCTCTGCCTTGTCATAGCAGCAGTCGTGCCTGTGGCAGCACCTGGGAGAGAGAAAAAAGTAGAGTTTAGGTGTTCTCCTTCATCCTGCATGTTTGCATGTGCTCCAGGGGTGCTTTGCTCACACATAGCTCCCAATGGCAGTGTCCGCCCCAATCTGTCAGCAAACAATCTGTTGATAAACTGAGTATCCTGGCATCTCTGGGAAACTTCACGTGTCTCAGGAGCTCATTAATGCCATATTTGCTCCCATGACCACTGTGCTTCTTCCTCTGAGCTTTTGCCTTCAAAAAGTCATGTATGGTCAAGACATGGCAATCTCACTGAAAGAGAGCCGAAGTGGTCCCATAAGGTGTGTGATTGTGGCTCACTGGCTTAGGCTTAGACCCATCCCAGAATTTGGAGTTGGCATGTTTTTTGCCTTCCTCAGTACCACCAAGAAGCTTCATCTCTTCAGTTCACCCGGGCATGCTGCATGCTCTTTGGCCCATGCAGTTTCTGAGGGGTGGCTACAAATTCATCAGTCTCAGTAGTGGAGTTCATCAGTTAACTTCAGATACTTAAATGTAAACATTTACATCTAAGACATTGACCTATACTTCCTCTACACCTCTGGGGTAGAGTTCATGTTTTCATGCTGCAGTGATCTAACATTGGTGAAAAGCATCACGTTCAAAAGTGCAGTTGCGTTTCACTGACCATAGAGGGGGATGAGGGCGAGTAGCTCAGCTGATGATAATCTGTCCTACGGACTAGTGAACGAGATAATTCCCACTGCTACTGAAGAATTTATAGAAAACTTGACCCCACTTGAATTTTATTCTGGTAGTTTAGGGACTCAGAATTCATCGAGAAGATATTCAGCACTATAAAGAGGTTCTCTGCTGAATAACAAAGGTTGTTTCAGCAAGAATGCAAGGTCAGAAGCTGGAGCCAGAGAGCAATGATCTCTTGTATTTCCAGAAATCATCCCTGCAAGATCGCTGTGACTCTACAGAGAAACCACTCTAGTAACTGGGGAAAAATGGAGGCAGGCTGATTTTAGGGGTAAATGGCAAATGGACAGCTTTTAGAGAAGCTCTTGAGCAGTAGATGTGAATCCGTTCAAGAGGTTGGTAATCTGGCCAAAAGGGAGTATGGCTGTGCTGGCTGCTTACAGATTACCAAATCCAGTTGAAGACCATGATTGCTGTCTTCATGACCCGAGGCCAGTCTACCTGAAAAATCAATAAAAGTCTGGGATCCATCATTGTGTCCCTCTGGAAAAGTGCAATAATCCTGCAAGAAGGATAAGAGTCCCTTGTGCAGGAAAATGGGGCTTCTCTGGGGACATGTTGAGAGTGGCCAGTACCTTACCGAAGAGCTCAGGAGCATCAGGAACTTCATCATCCTCTGCTGCAGGAGGATTTTGCCCTTTAGAAACTAGTTTATGGATATGAGGGCTGGTAGACTCTGTGAGGTGATAAAGTCCAGTAAAACAAACCAAAACCAACCAATTTTTGAAGTGCAAAAAAGAAGATTAACCACTGACAAATTCTAATAAAAACCCTGGAACCAGATCAGGACAATCATGTGAAAGAGACAACAGAATCAGACCAGTCAGATCAAATTCAGCCTTCGTGTAATCTCTGTTGATTACATGCAAGCTGCATTTAGTCCAGTGTGCTTTCCTGACTGACTGAGCTCCTGATTTAGTAGTGAAAAGTAGCAATTTCATCCCACATATGAGTCTACAAACTAAATGCCTTTTTTTCTCAACCTGCAAAGATGAAACCTGTATGACGATTACAATTAGACTACTCACTGCATTGTGAAACCTAGAAATGTAAGTTAACAGTAGCAGACTACTATCTCCTTCCATGCCAGCTCCTCAAAGGACTTCGTGACAGGACTAAGCCCTATGGGACATTGTTACGATTCGATTAGTGAGAGGTGTCTCTGCCCAAATTAAGGTGCAAATGAGACCTTATGCCAAAGTCAATTATAAATTAATAACATAATAATATTGGTTTTATTTAATAATAAATGTGAGGTAGAGAGATAGATATAGGAGAGAGTGGGGGGCAAGAGAGAGTGTGAGTGAGAGAGAGAGAAACAGAGAGAGGTTGTCACCACCCGTGGATCCAGCAGTGTCCCGTTGGTCCTTCTTCACCCTGGGCTTCTCAGTGGTGGAGGCCCTGAGTTTTTCTTCTGATGGTGGGAGTCCCAAATCATGCTCTTGGTGGTGGGGGTCTCAAGTTGTTCATCTGGGGGTACCACCTTTATACAGTCCAAATTCCAGGTATCCATGGAAGTATATGCCTAATTTACATGCTTCTGCAGGGTGAGGGTTCCGTGGTCACAGATACCATCTGTCTGATAAGTCAGGGTGATCTTTGTTTCACTGGTGATATGTGTATATAATTTGCCACAGTGAAAATTTTTGTCCAGATATGTTAATCAGGATATGCTAACCAGATCTCACCTCTGCCAGGCCTGGAATTAGCGCAAACTTGTCTCTTTTGTGCTTGTCTTGAGTTGCCACCATGGTGGCTCCTGCGTCTTATCTTAGTGCAAGTCCCTTTGTGGCCTTAACAGTGTTGGAGACAGGCAAGGCATTCTTCAATTCCTTACAGACATACATATCTATAAGTTTTCCCATGAAGAGGTATAGCAATTGCTGTAATTGCAAAGACTTTACACAGCCTGGGGAACCAGTTCTGTTGGACATGACAGTGCTGTAGGTCAGATTTTTGTTAATCTGTTAACACCTCCCAGGCTTGTCCTGAAGGGGTTAAACATGACAGGCCAAAGGTGAGAAGAATTTGAAGCCTTGTGGAAAGTATTAAAGTCTTGGCTTTCTCCACCTTTTGAATCCCTATTGAGTATGCCATACTATTTGACAGGGATGGACTATGACACTGAGCTACAAGTGAAGTATGTACTATCTGGAGGAGGTGCTGTAGACCAGGGCACCCTCACTAACACCAGAAGCTCCAGCAAAGCCTAATCCATCCTCAGGGGGATGACAGATCACAGAGTAGGCCCATCACTGGTGTCTCATATATGGTACACAGAGCACAGGAGGCCATGGAGAAGAGCTGTGACTCAGGCTGAGCTAAGGCAAGTGCCAGCTGTAGAAAACATAGGGTCTGTGAGGTCTGGTGAGTGAATTAGCAGCCAAATTGGTAAAGTTGGTGTCAGCGATGGAGGAGTGGGGAGGAGGAACAACATGAAGGTAGATGGGCAAAGGGAGGTGTTAGGAGCCTCTGTGTCAAGAGAATGAAATTGGTCTTCATGGAGAGACATAGGGAGCAAACAGAAGAAGAGGTAGGAGAAGTGAGAACAAGTATTGGAGAGGGCAAAAGATGGTCTGTGAATCAGGCAAGGACAAGCAAATGAGCACTAGAGAGGTGTGTTAGCTAGCTAAGAGAACTTGCTGCTCCTTTTGTGGCTTGGCAAAATCAGGAGGAGGAGTTGCATAAATTCTGCAGGACCACAGGATTTGGGGCACAATTCTGCTTCCCCTTACAGCAGTTCCTCCTGATGATACCCATAGCTGCAGCGTGGTGATGTGTGGCTTACACCAACACAAAGTCAGAAGACTTTGGCTTATATTTTACAAACATCTCTTTGAAATGCGCCGAAAGAACTGCCAGGGAATGCAGCCTGAGGAAATTTATTGTTGTCCTTTGCTACCTTCAGATGATCCCTGTCTGTCTGGAAATGCCCTTTGCTGCACTTGGGTCAGAGTGTCATGTTAAGCTTTTAATAAGCTCTTAACATTCAGTTACACCAACACAAACAGAGTCAGCCAACTCCATGGCAGAGCACTGGTGAACAGGTATGGAAAACAAATACAGCTGTGTCTCTAGATAGTAAACAATCTGTTCATCACGTCTGGACTATGAGACAGCCCTAATGGCTACAGACAGCTCCGGCTGGTCCGCGGGGATCAGCTGGCCAGACCCCTGCTGTTGAGCAAATGCCAATAAGGCAAGAATTTGTCACGTTGTGTTTGTCATGTTAACAGCACCGTCACTGCTGTGAGCCCTTTTGTTTTGCTTTTACTTTGCAACACGGGAGAAATCTTACTCCTCCCTATGAGTTTGCCAGGACTTAGTGGTTGGACTCAATGATCTTAGAGGTCTTTTCCAACCTTAGCGATTCTATGACTTAGATGAGTCATAGATGCCACCCTGCCTTGCATGGCATTGGTGTTTTCAAGGAGATGCTGAGCACCCTCACTCAGGTCCTGCTTTACAAAATGGGTGCTGCAGCAATCCAGGGGAACAGGGAGGAGAAGGAGAAACAATCTATTGACTCTATGCAGAAGAGATGCCATTATGTCTTGAAGTGATGGGACTGTGAGAGGGGAACAAAAGGGAAAATGTAATTACTGACAACTCCACATCAAAGTCTGTGTGTGGAATAAACCTTATAAAGGGATTATCCACTCAGTGGCTTTTTTTCTTTTCCCATGAAAGAGAGGTGCTTAGAAGTATTCTAGCCCTGTCTAGACAGATTGACTGAATTATGCACAAGAAAATTACTCCTTTTCTAAGGGTCTCAGTAACAAACCTAAAAGTGCCGAGGGGGTGAGTAATTTAAAACAGTGTTCGTCACTCATGGCCAGTTGTTTTGCCACTCTGCTTCTTTCTTTTTTTAGAACAGTAAATATGGAAATCAGCGTGGTTACTTTGACAGGCATGGAGTATTCAACCACACTGATCTTTGTAGTAGTTTTCAGTAACAGATATCAGAATATTTCTCTAACAAACAGGAAATGGAAAATTTTAGGGTTAAATCTACTGGGGCATTGCAGATTCTTCCTAGCTAAGAACTTAAATAAAACCTTCCAGTTGTTCTGTTGCAGCCAAGCATTGCAGCTATGGAATAATAATGACTGCACTTAAAGGATCAAGCTTCCCTTTTACAAACTGTCTGGTATTTTGAGGCATTTCCAGTTGCAAAATCTCATTTTCTGCCTTTAGAATAAAATCCATATCCCATGGAAATCAAACAGCAGCAGAAACACTGGCTGATGAACATGTGGCCATATTTTACACTCTGTTTTTCAGGAGTGCTGACTACTTGCATCTCTCAGAGTCTCCTGAACTGGGGGTCACTCGGCCCCTATGGAAAACAGCTTTTAGGTCACTGCTGAGCCCTTCAATAAAAGCAGTACTCCAAGTTAGTGAAGCCATGTTTCACTTTAAAGGTCTGATTATGAGAGTCGATAAAGGGTGAAAAAATAAGTAAACACCTTACATACACTGCTGTGGAAAGTGACAGTAGGTCAAGAGGTATTACTGAAAATTAAAAAGAAATCTCTACACCTGAAATCTATGACACTTTGTAGGCAGTTACTCTTGTAGACATTTAATGCCTAAAAACTGCAGGCACACTTTGTAGGCATCATTTGTGAACCCCACATTGACTGTTTCATAGATTAAATGTTTCATAGATAAAAACCAGGGACATGATGAGAGGGCATCGGGAGTGAAACATCTCACTGCATGAATGAAGACAGCTCCGTTAGTTTTAAGGGACATCTCTTTCATGCCCAGAGAGGAGCTGGTCTTTAACCTTGACAACTTGTCTTCCTTTTTTTGTTTTAGCCCTTTTTCTGTCCTGCCAATTCAGCAAAATCTGGTTTTGTAGCAATGTTACAGGTCCCCAACAGCAGGGTATTCTGGAAAGCTCGTTTCCTTCCCGGGGACCTGCAGACTGCCACCACCCCTGCTAAAAGCAGGGCTTGCTAATCAGTAACGCCTGGCCTGTTGACTGTAGATAAAGATTGACTTGTGTGCTCTGTCTTTGATATTTCAAATCAGGCCAGATTGCAAATAGCACAGAACACAAGAGTCCACTATGCTCAAGCTTTATATGCATGCTAATTGCAAAGCACAGGAAAGAAATCTTTGATTGCAACACACCCTAGACTCATTGCTTGTAGCCTTGGGAATAACTTGAGTAGCACAAGATCTTCCACACTAACAAAGAAAAGGGGAAATAACACCATGCTCTCCCCTGCTGTTCTTCCTAGACTCAGTGTGAGCTAACAGTAATGATGGCAACAGGCTTGATTACTCCTTGCAACAATCTGGATTTCTTTGAGAGGATAAACAGTGATGTTCCCATCACTGCCTTTTGAAGGACCCCAGTGAAATAACCCTCCAAACACCTTGCATCACCCTCCTTTTGTCAGGCTGGGCTTGCTCTCTATGAATAAACATTCAGCTATTTTAGGAATTGATATCCTGGTTTCTCTGTTGCCCTCAACCCCTCACAGTACAAGGTCCCAAGAGCTTTGTTTACTCAGGCTGGGCTTGCTCTCTATGGATAAACATTCAGCTATTTCAGGAATTGATATCCTGGTTTCTCTGTTGCCCTCAACCCCTCACAGTACAAGGTCCCAAGAGCTTTGTTTAAAAGGAGGTTAAACCCTCATTCAAATCCCCAGTAATATGTGAGTCGTCACTCACAAATTCCCAGTATTGTTCATATACACTCAGCTCGCTCACAGATTCCCAGTATTGTTCATATACACTCAGTTCCTTCCCCACAAGGCAGCAAACGAGTCTGTGGAGTCACGGTAGTACAAACAGGGAAGTTTGGGGGGATCTGCACTGCTTCTGGACATATAGTTGAGGTTCTTCTTACCAGTCTGTTTTATCTCTAGGCCAGCCTCGTCCTCCCAGTCCACAGTAGCATCCATAGCCAATATATGCCAAGGGAGACCGTCCCGTGCCACAGGATATAGCTCCAGCCAATTCAATGATTCCTCGAGTGTGCAGTGAGTGGGATTTTCCCAGAGCACCTTTCCAAACTGCAAAGACAGGATATAGATACACATGGGGATTAAACACATCTATCACTGATTTTCCTAGAGCCCTTAAAGGGAGATGGGTTTGGTTTTGACTGGTTGGTTGTGTGCAGCCTTGACAATCTGACTAGCCATGACATTCAGCTGGAAAAGGGGACTCTGCAGGGGCTTTGCCTGAGGGCTGGGATAACCAAGAGGTGGACGCAGAAATACCCAAGGAGGTTATTTCTTCCAAGGGAGCCCAATTTGAGCAAGGCTTACTAGTTCTGACGCACCAGTGTGTGATTGCAGCTATGTTGCACCCAGGAGCAGTGTGCCTGGTTTTGCATGCCATGGAGCCCAGGGTGTTAAGCTTTGCAGGGCCTGTGCCAGCACTAAGCAGAGCCGGCTGGGCTTCACTGCACCCCAGAGCACCCAAACCTGGGAAGGTATTCCAGTTACGCTGCGGTCCTAAGCGAGACATGAAGAGGCAAGGTACAACCACACAACCAGACCTAACCTGGACTCTGTGGGAAAAAATGAGGTTTCTATGTTGCCCAAGATTTTTTACATTATCCAAGTTTCCCCTACTATCTGGGATATTTTAACCCAATCTCCAGATGGCAAAAAGCTGGCAGTACTGTTAATTTGCATAGAGGGATAGCTACAAGCACCCAATCCCATTTGGTATATATGTTGTCAAGGACAGAGTGCCTACCTTAGCCAAGAGGTATGTATATCCATGTTCTTTTGAGACTTTGAAAGTGCTGGCAACACTTGCATCTGCTTCCACTTAAGTCATAACATAGGCTGGCCACATTAATTTGGGGGGAAAAAAACCCAAAAGAAAAGACAGGAACTCTGTGTCAACTGAAGTGTGTGGATGGCCATGCAAACCAGTCTGGAGATTTTTGGGTTATAAGTCTTTCAAACAGTGTTGTGATTTTGCATATTAATTTGCAACTTTATAAGAAACCACAGATTCTATCTTACAGTAACTGTTACGGAAACCAAGAGTACCCTGCCCCTTATACTGAAACCACGGTGAGGCTCAGCTGCAAACATTGATGCTTATCATGTTAAAGATTGTGACAGATTATGAGTATTTCTTGCCTGGGTTTACTGTGAAGGACTAAGTACACTTTCCACTGCTCTATCCTGCGTGGCAAAGCCACTTAGTGGTAGTGTCAAACCCCTCAGACTGACAGTCTAACCCATACACTCATCCCACTCGTGCACTCTCCAAAAAGAAGCAGGAGGATTTTGCAGCCTGGTTGGATGGAGAGGGAGGTGATGCCTGGGAGCTGGGAACCTGCCACTGAAGTTGCTTTGCCACGTGCCCCTGGCTAGTGCCCCTGGCTATTGCGGCACGCTTGACCTCTTCAGAGTGTTGTGCAAACAGGGACTAATTAATCCCCTAAACCACCCAAGGACTCAATACTATTATTAAAACAGTTGCTTTCCTTTTAAAACCTAGCCTCTAATCCCCTTGCTTGGGGCCTCTTCCCTCTTGTCCTGGGCTAGCTCTGGCCTCTGAGCCCAATCCAAATGCCAGCAAGGATGAGGAAGGTCCCTCCCCATGAAGGACAAGGCAGGGCTTTGCTCCTTCTCTGCCACCTGAGCCCCACTAGGCACTGGCACTTCCCTCCACCATTTCCCCCCAACAATCAGCACCTCGGTCTGTCCTGGCTCGGGGTTTGCACAGCCTCCTTCTGCTTCCCGGGGCATTCCTCAGGGATTAAATGCACATTCCTGGAAAAGTAACTGCACTGCTCACCTAAACACTACTCAAGTGTTCAGATTTCATGCTAATAACACATTAGATGGGTGTTATTCAAAGCTAAAGAGACGACTTACTTTCCTTGTCTAAACAGTGGGGCTCTGGAGTGAGAAGGGGGCTCAGCTCTCAGGGACCCCAGGGGAAATCACAAGCAGTGAACTGCTTTGGATTGGGGGCTATAAATCATGCTTTTTCAACCTGTTGCAGTTTGCAAACCCTGATAGTGTTCCAATGGAGACAAAAACTTCTTTGTAGGAATTCTGGCCTCCTGACGAGCAGCTTGCATTTTTTTAATAGCTGTCTTTCACTGACCTCTTAAGCCAGGACTGCTGGATGGGATCTGTTGGCCACTGGCTGAAAACGGCTGAGGCTGGTGTAAGGTAACTGTACCTCGCCCAGAATAAGAAAGGCCATTCTTCTTTTGGGGATATCTCTGAGGATCAAGGAACTGTAATTACAGTGCAGAGCTGCTCATGAAAGCGAAGAGAAAACCCCAAAGGACATTGAGTTGAAAAGACTCAATTACTGTGCTTAGGGCTGTGTGCTCTGCAAGGGGCATCCAGGCAGCCTCTGATGTTCCTGTTCTTTGAAAGCTGGCTGGGTTTTGAGCCAGCGGTGTGTTGCTCCAGCTGAGAGGTCAACCCCGGCAAGTACATTTTAATATTCAGGTGCACAGCTAACAACTTGACCAAGTACTGAAATTGCTTTTTCTATGCTGGGCAGCCAAGCCAATGCAGCTAAGAAAGCCTTGAAAAAGCCTGAATCTCCACAGCATCCTCTATCTAGGCACAATTCCCATTAGGAGCATGTCCAATCGTTAGTTATATTACTAATGGAGCACCTTAGCAAAGAACATACCTGCAGAGAGGTGACCAGAGGTGGATCTGGCAATTTACACTTTCTATTTCCTGCTTATACTGGCAGCTTTTGCTGTAGATTAAGGCAGGGGTTTGTTTTTTATTTTAGAACTCTACTGCAGGTATAGTTTAATGCTGTGTTGCCTCTGTGTGTAGGGGCCTTATGTTAGCTGTCATTTATGGCTTTTATAAACAGGCTTTTCAAAAAAAAAAAACCTGCTTACACCATGGTCACTGGTATAAAAGCAAGGTATTTCTATGCAACACAGACACAAGTTTATAACAGAAAAAATTTAAAAAAAAAAAAAAAAAGAAAAAGAAAATATCCTGTGTTTATACAACTTCAGCCATGCAAACCACCCAGGAAGCGAAGTGGGCAGGCAGCTCACTTACCTAGCCCCTCACTGTAAAGTTGAAAATCCTCTAGTGTCGCTTTCCTTCCTCACCTCTCAGCGAGGTGCCTGCAGACAAAACTGCTGGCAAGGAGAGAGGCTGTCCCCGGGCAGGGGGAGGCATGTTGGGGCAGAGGGAGCGAGAGGTGGTACTCACCTGCCTGAAGCAGCATCAGTACGAGCAGCAGCCGAGAGCCCATGGGCTGCTGATCGCTCCCACACTCTGTGCTTCGGGGCTCAGCCGCGGGCAGGGCTGGGTGAGCCGAGGTGTGGCTGTGCTAAACAATCCTCCCGGGCTGCTGCTCCAGGGTTTATATATACATGGCTTCGCACCCGTCCGAAGTGAAACACCCTCCTCTGCGATGTGCCCGAGCCCCAGCTCAGGTGCAGTCTGTCCCCGCAGAAGGCTCCTGGCTGTGCGGGGAGAGGGCGAGGGCTGGCTGTGTTTGCCCAGCATCGCCTTTGGGAGGGAGGGGCTGCTGGAAGGGCATTAGGCTGGCGGTCTGTGGGACAGCCCAAGACACCCAGGCACTAAGCCGGGCTCCTTCTTTAAGCTGTTTGCTCGCAGACCCTGGTTAACCTCTGAGTAGCTGCGGAAAATGAAGCCTCCAAACGTGCTTTCTGTGGCTTGGGCTCGCTGCTGTGGCATCCCCCTGGCAAGGATTTTCTCTTTTTATAGATCACTTTCCAGGGTATTTTTTTTAAAATTATCTTATTTTAAGACTGATTATTTTTCATGTTTAAAAAGAAGAGACAAAACTATAAAAATCCAACAGAAAGAATACTGTTAAGTGCAAGTACCTAATTATAAACTGACCAACAGAGCTAATTCTGCACCACTCCAAGGGAAAAATACCCTCTTGGCCAGTTGCTACACCTGACCGACATCAATTGATTTCTTGGAGATGTGTGTGCCAGACACAGTAAAAGACCAAGCAGTTGGGGCCAGCCCTTGGGGCCAACAGTGCTCTGATCATAGCAGGCAGATGGATTGGAAGGTGTCCTCCCTGTCACACAGCCTGCTCCTGTCTGGGGCCACAGGCAATGTGAGCAGAAGGGATGGCCACAGTTATTTTGCCTTTGGGCTTGAAACAGCTTTAAAACTCCTGTCTTCCTTGGTACTGCAGCCACTTCCCTTGTTGGATTCTAAGCCTTTGCCCCTTCCCTGATGTGGGCATGATGGGCAGGGTGGGCTGCTCTGCTGGGAGAGGAAGAGGAGGGGAAGAAGGCTGCTTGCCCCTTCCCCTGCACAGCCCAGGATTATCTCAGCAGCACCCCTTGCTTGAGTTCCTCATGGTAAAGCTGTGTTTCCCTTCTTAATAGTGTGGGTTTAAATATTTGCTTGCTAAATATTGGTACTCAAATGAAAGGTCATCAGCAAGTCATTTACAGGGCTGCCTTCTGCTGAGACCAGCCCTAATGCAGCTGCTGGCACCCATTGCCAAGCAAGTTTTCAGGATACAGTATATACTGGGTGCCTTTGATACAGGGCAAACAAGACAGGAGAGTTGGGTAAATCTCATGACAATTACGAGCCTGAAATTTCCTGCACAACACCACCCCAGTGATGGGCCATGTTCTGGCAGCAGGGAGGGGGGAGGACAAGTCAAGCACAGCACTCACTCAGCTGCTCCCTGCCCTGGCTTCTACACTAACTCAGTGGGGATCAGGAGGAGTTGCACAGCTTACACTTTTGCCCTCAGAAACTCCCTTCAGTAATTGTTCATTTACTCAGGTAATAATGCCAAATCATATAGAATCACAGAATGGTTTAGGTTGGAAGGGACCTTCAAGATCATCTAATCCCAACCCCCTGCCACCAGCAGGGAACCTTCCACTAGACCAGGTTGCTCCAAACCCTAAGCACTAGGCTTCCCAGCCTAGCCTTGAACACTTCCAGGGGTGGGACATCCACAACTTCCCTGGGCAACCTGTTCCAGTGTCTCAGCACCCTCACAGTAGAGGATTTCTTCCTAATATCTAATCTAAACCTATAGTTTTTCATTTTAAAGCCATTACCCCTTGTCCTGTCACTACCTGCCCTTGTAAAAAGTCCTTCTCCAGCTTTCTTTAGCCCCCTTTAGGTACTGAAAGACTGCTATAAGGTCTCTCTGAAGCCTTCTCTTCTCCATGCTAAACAACTCCAGCTCCCTCAACCTGTCTTCATAGGAGAGCTGCTCCAGCTCTCTTATAATCCTTGTTGCCCTCCTCTGAACTTGTTCCAGCACTTCCATGTCATTCTTATGTTAGGGCCCCAGAGCTGGATGCAGTCAGTACTCCAGGTAGGGTCTCACCAGAGCTAAGCAGAGGGACAGAATCACCTTCCTTGAGCTGCTGGCCAAGATGCTTTTGATGCCATCCAGGATATAGTTGGCTTTCTGGGCTGCATGTGCCAGCATTCTCATCTATGAACACCCCCAAGTCCTTCTCCTCAGGGCTTCTCTCAATCCATTCTCCACCCAGCCTGTATTTGTGCTTGGGGTTACTATGTATGTGAGTTGTGCTGGCAAATGTTTAACCTTATAAGTTTGCAGAAGGTGGATGCAGGAGGTCATGCTGTAATTGATGGCTCTGTGGATACTGGTCCTGTGGGAAGTGCAAAGAAGGCAGGCTTTGAAACACCTTGTGGGGCCTGGCTGTTAGAGCAAGCTCCATCCCTGACAGGTACCTGGCTGGCCCTGTTCTTACTGGGGACCAAGTGGGAGTTGTGAGGAACTTCTGCAGATGATTCATAGGATTCCTGGATTCCCCAAGGCTGGGGAACTGTCCCCAAGTGCCAAAAGTTTCTAGTCCATGACTTGGATTTATCAGAGACATTTGGGTCAGAAAAAAACCTACATTTAATCTTGTTCTTTCAGAGCCTTCCTGAACTTCAAACCTGATTTAAAAAAGGACATCATAAAGTTCCAGATCACAAATTAATTTTGTTCTTCCAATTCTCACAGCCCCCTGCTCCCCAAATAATAGATGAGGGGTTTTTTTCCCTATTCAGCAATAAATACAAAATAAAGAAATACAGACTCCTTTCAAATGTATCTGCAGTGTTTGAAGAGGACTTCTGCAGGATATTAGGGAGGGATGCTCAATTTCAACCTTAAAAAGTAATGCAGAATGAATATATTGCTTCCTTATCATTGTTCCATGGCACTGACTGGTCAAGTTTGTTATTCATCTCTGCAAGTACTGATTACCATTGCCTAAGTTAATCGACTCTTGGATTTGTTATTGAAAGACATTTTTTTATAATGTTTACTCAACAAGTTTCAAGCTTTCAGATCTTCTCGTAGAAGCTGGTCTGTCCTTCATCCCATAGAGGTTGTTCTGTCTCAAATGAAATACTCAGCCACCTCTGTGGATGTCACCACCAACCACAAGAAGAGGTCTCTGCTCAGCACCAGCAGAATCAATGATGCTTTGCTGGCCAGGCCAAAGGTTTGTTCTGTCAGGGGCAAAGGAAGCTTTCTTTCAATGCCATGTGCATTAGAGGTTCCCTAAATGATCTTCCCCTTCAAAGACTGATTTATAGGACTGAAGAGACCTGTCCACAGGAAAAAATAAATCTAAGACTGCCACATGATTTGTGGTGACATAACCAGTTACAGAGTTAACATAGCAATATAAGTAAACAGTGTTATTTAATATTGTCTTGCATGGAAGGTCTGCACATACTTGAGTGCTGATATAGCCCAGTCAGACTTTTATGAGGAAAGACAACATTGTTGTTATTATTATTTCCAGCTTCTAAGTCAGCCCTAAAAGGAGTTTTAAAACTGGCTCCTGATTTGAGGGTGTCCAGTATGTATCTCCTTGAGCTTTGCTGTTGCTGTGCACTAGTCTCATCTTGATGGTGTAATTTCTGAATAGTGAAGCAGGATAGCTGCAGCCTGCAGCACCCTCTCAAAGTCAGTGCCTGCTTTTGTTTGCAGTCAGTCACACTCACACCCTCACACCCAAAACCCTCCCTCAGGTGATGAAGGAGAAGGGTCACCTCTCAGGCTTTCACTGTCACAGTTTTCTCTCAGAAGAGTCTCAGAAGGCACTGTCTCCTGAGCTGACTGTGGGGGACCTTCCCCTCTGAAGTCGTTCCTATACACTCTGTTACCCTTCTGCAAACTTCCTCGTACTCCTCCCATGAAGGAGTGGACCTCATGGTCCACATGTATAACACTGTGGGAGGGAAGGCAGACAGAGCTGTCACGAGTCAGGAAATGATGGATAGTTGAAGCAGGGGATAGTGTGATATGCTGCAGGAGCGGGAGCTTCTTCCCTATTAGCATTGGTGGATTGTTGGGGTCCTTGTGAGGGACGGACTACAGCACACCAATTGCTCTGATAGCCAACTTTATTTAGGGCACCTAACAGTATTTCTAGTCAAATGTCTCCCGTACATGCAGCTACACGTTGATCACACAACTTTGGATTGGTTGCTCAACTTGTCAATGCGTGCAGTTCTTACTTATGATAGGGTACCAGTTTAGGCTACATCCCCCTCTCACAGCCTGGGAAACTGATAACAAGAGCTACACAGTGTCTAGGAGAACCTAAACAACAGCACTATTCTCAGCTTGTTAGCAAAATGACTTATCTATAAGGCA